CTGGGGGCCAGTCGTGCTCCGGGTGACAGTGGTGGTTGTTGGCAAGGGCCGGTCTCCTCCCTGCACAGACGCAGGACTGAGCTTGCCCGGGGCTGCCCGAGTGCCAAACTGTGGCCGCTGCCGTGCCCGAGCTGGCGCTGCTCTGCTCCTCACGGGGCTGCCGCCCGCCCCAGGGCTCAGAGCCCGAGTTCTGCCCTGGCCAGGGCCTTTCCCTTTGACACTGCTCTTCACTTCAAGCCCTTTTTGGAACTTTTTCCTGCTTCTGTGTTAGAGTCCCTCTGATACCCTGTACATTTGCAAGGACACTTGTCTTATGCTACCTTGGCCATGGTTTAGATGTCTCAGCAAATTAAATCCCCCTCGATGGACATACCTGTTGGGTGTTGATTTGGAAGTTTTCTTTCTTCTTCATTACACCAGCAAGTCCTACCAGCTGAAACCACTCCTGTGGTGAGACAGCCCAGCAAGACTTTCTGTTGGTAATACCTCCAAAGACCCGTGTCCCTCTGTCATCCTGTCCTCAGACACCAACAGCCCAACTGAATACTCTGGATGCTTTTGTTTGTTAAACCATTGAAAAGTTTGGCAGAGCTGAAGACACAGCAATGCCAGGAAGATCTCGGTCTGTTCAAAGAGGTGGTTTTCCTTCTGTGGTTGTCGTGGTGCTGGGGGATCCAGGCAGGTGCCTGGGCTTTGGGGTGATGGGGCTGGCTGTTCCCTGAGCCCAGGGGAGCAACCAGAGAGCTGCTGGGGCATGGGAATATTTTCTTATCATCTGACAGGCAGCCTGTAAAAAAGTGCTTTGGTGGCAGCTCTGCAAGGCGGGAACAGGAGCCCCAGGTCTGTTCTCCTGTTTCAGGCCAACAAGGTCACTGGGGTGATGCTGGTGGCTGCACGAGCACTGCCTGGAGCCTTGATGCTCCTCCCGACTCTGCTCTCCTCTGCTCCTTCAGGACAAGGAGGTTTTGTTCGGAGTGGGATGTCTGCCAGGCCCGGGGGCTGTGAGGAGCTGGCCCTGCCACACAGGCAGTGCTTGGGGTGTCCCTGCAAAGAGGCTGTTCCCAGCACAGCTCCGTCCCCACCAGCCCAGCCCTGCCCAGGCTTCGGGGTTGTGCCTCCGGCCAGGGCTGTGGGCAGAGCAGAAATTTGGCTGGTTTCACTGATAAGTCGTGTGACAGGTCCAGCCGGGTGTGGCCGGCACCAGCAGCGCCTGGGAATTTCTGCTTTAGAACAAACCCCCTCTGTTGGCTTGGGGAACTCCAGCCTCTCCAGGGAGGTTTGTTGAAAGATTTCTGTTCCTAATTTGTGCCTTTCTTCAAAGCGTTAACATCTTTCTCTGCCATTTCCTGAGATCTCACAGCAGACCCTGGATGAAGGACACATCCTGCTGCCAGAGGAATTCCCCT